TTTTTAATGATATATTATTTTATAAATCTTTATATAAAAATTATATATATATAAAATATATTATTTATATATTACTAATAAAGACATAATATATTATATAAAATTAATGCATTACTATAAAAATTACGTAAATATTACATTTTTCAGTTTTTCTAATAAATAGTACACCCGAAAAATAAATGTGATTCTGTATAGTGCCATATATAGCTAGATTTAGTATTGGGAAGGAAATATATCTAAAAAGATATCTTTCCAATCAGTCATGTCTGATAGATCTGCAATAGATTGTTCTTCACATTTCATTTTTTTCTAACACTGGCTAAATTAACTTTCTTTTCATACTTCAAAAAAGGCCGATCATCTCATGATTTATAGAAACTTGCCAGCTCCTGAAACATTCCAAAGAAATTATTAATAATTTAGCAGAGTAGTGAAAAAGGAACTGGCAATATATGGTTTAGGACTCAGCAGGTTTAATAAGCAGGTATGATATTATTTCATTTTGTGTTTTATTCCTCTCTTTAAACAAGATCTACTCCAATATCTTTTATTAGTTTCATTTTGCAAGTAAATCATATATTATTATATTTGCTTTTATTTTCTACATATTACAAATATAAATATTTCACACTAGCTGACAATGTTAAATTAACGAAAAAACTTATTCCTCTTCTGTTTAAACACCACCACTATAATTAAAAGTAATATTGATCACATTCATATTTTGCGAAAAAGAAGGTAATATTAGAGTAACAGGTCTGAAAATATTAGGTATTTTGATAGGATTTGATGATGTTACGACTGGTGATGACTTGCCAGAGGTGCCAATAATAGGGGACTTCTTAACAGCTTTTCTAGAACTTGATTTCCCTTTAGGCTGTTCAGATGCTTTAGGCTGTTCACGCGCTTTGGGTTGTTCAGGTGAGACTGAAGAGGATAATACCTCAGGAGAACTCACATTACTTAGCCTAATATCATTTTTATTATGCACCTGCTCGAGTGGAAGTACTAGCAAATGGTGATAGATAGAATTTAGAGATATTCACTCACTTATTTTCTCCCAAAATATATATCTGAATTTAGCCAAAACTTGCTAGAAAACTCTTCATAAATTTCTTCGCCAACTAAACTTCTTTTAATTCCAGTACCTTTTTTATACTTTTTTGCCATCTAATAAAATAATAATAAGTATATTTTGCTATCCAGATTCTTCATAGAACCCAAGCAATCACTACTTATGTAAAAAGCTTTCATGAGAGTTAAGAATTTTTTATGACAATCATCATCTATGAAATAGTTTGTATTTTCCTGCTCATTAATACTATTAGCAATTTTCTCCCAAAAAAAGCCATTTCTTTTATTTGGAGTGGCATGATACTCAGCATTTCTTTCTTTTCATTCATCAATGAGAATGCAAAGTTGAGCATCAGACCACTCAATAGAAGATATATTTTTACATGATGAGAAATTTCTCAAGTGGATGGAAGCCCGTTTTATGGAGAAATATTGAGTGATGTGAGATCATTGCAAGGCAGATTAATTGATCAATATAATGATTTATTTAATAATGGTGGCTTAGCTACCAAGTCAATAGATCAAGGGAGATGAAATCTGATTAGCCAATCATCTTGTGATTTATCGAAATCTGCTAGTGTCTAAAATCCTCCTAGAACTATCGAGGAACTGGCAAGGAACTAGAATAATACCTGTAATACAATTATGTCATAATAGATTGACAAATCTGTATGAATTTGAATCTAATATTCCTAGTAGTATAAGTTGATAAATAATCGCAAATAACTTGCTGAAATCGCTAAAAATCAATAATTGATATAATCTACTTATAATCATAAAATTGATATAAACCGTTAAATATGTCAGGAACTCATATTAACAGAGCAAGGCCTAATAAGTATATTGACATTATTTTAGATAAAGATTTATAATAAAATTATGCCTAAACATATCAATCTTCATTCTGGATACGATATAGAGTATATTAGTAACTGTTATGGTTTTCCTTATTCTGATCAATTTGAAAAGATGGTTGAGGTCAAAAAAATATATGATAATTTATCTATTAATAGTTTGTATGAAACTCTACAGCAATGGGCTATTCGTGTAAAAGATGCTTTGCAAGCATTGATTATTAAAGGTCATAAAAGCTATTATCATGTATTCTGCCTTTTCAGATCATCTAGGCAAGGAGTAACTAAGACATACTATGATAACTACGAAGGGAGAGAAATTGCCATTGGTTATCACAGATCTAATATTCACAATTGCAAGATGGCTATTTGCTTCGATTATTGGAAATTAGTAGAGATCACTGATGTAAAACCAAAAAAGACATATAGGTGGTTTGCTAGGAAAATAGGACTCTGAGACTAAAAAATTTTTTTGAATAAATTAAAAAATCAAAATAAACAAAAAACTAGCTTTAAATTTGAGGC